GCCCACCCCCACAGAAATACCGTGCCTCACAAGAGCCCCCCAAACCCTCCCCCCCCCCCGCCCTACTTACTGAAAGTCTTGCAGATGTCAGAGACGGCTTTGAAGACTCGGTCGGAGAAATTCACTTTCACCTTCACGTATTTCATGTTGGGCAGCTGCAACCGGAGCAGTTTGTGCTGTGGGGTGAACTGGAGCTTGGCGTCAGCCTGGATACCATATTTGTCGAGGGTCCAGTGAGTCTTCAGGAGCCATGTTTTCTTCTTCTCCCACCATAACGCGTGATCAGACCAATCTTTCTTTACATCTGCAAAGAAATGAGGAACACTGATGAGCACATTTTGATTTTTAAAGAGAGATCGCTACTGTGTGGTGTCCAAGAAGAAATTTTTTGTTATGTATCATTCTTATATAGGACTACTACAGCTTAGCTTACTGCTTTTATTACAATTCTAAAAGGACAGTAGAGTCTCCAGATTACAAGTACTGGCCTAGAGAATGTCACACCACCGATTGAAGTAGTATGGCACGTGTGGCCACCTCTTCACCCAAAAGCGGTGCATTTATCTCCTCTTCCACGACAACTCATAGTGCCACTAAGCAGACACAACAAGTGCTTTAAGAAGAGGTTTTTCTGCATAAACAGAATAAGACACAATTGCCTGTGCATTAACCCACAGCAAGGGCTACACTGAACCTAGCAAAGCTGGAAGCACTGACTGGCTAATTTAAAATTGAACTGAACCCAAAGCTTTTTATCTTTTGGATAGCATAAGGGAAGGTTATAACCCATCAGCTTTCCCCCACCCCCCCCATCTGTGTACAATTAGAGAGATTTCCCTTCACCTCCTGTCTAATAGCCACAACAGGAAGCAAGAGGAAATTCCTCCAATGTGAGGAAAATCTCTGGGGGGCAGCAGGGCCACCAGAACTAGTGTCTCCATTGGAAGCTTTCCCCATCTATTCCTGTTCTTGTGGGAACAAAATATTTGGGATTTGTTTTTACTTTCAGTGATGACAGATGAGCAGGCAAACTAATCTTAATAAATCACAGAATCTTGGATAGTAGAGTAAATGATCCCACCTGTTTTGGGGTATTAGAATATCCCATTTGTCAGGGTTATGCATATACATTTATCAAAACTATATATCAGGACCAGCTCAACAATGACCTAATGTTATTCTTCAATGGGTCCAGATATTGTTTTCATCTCATTTTGATTCATAGCCCAAGTACTATAAACATCGGACAGATTCCAACCATTTTCCACGCCATCGGATACTATAAAAAAAATAAATGTTTAAAAGAGAAGTTTTGGCTGAAGTTTTAAATGATCCAACTGGCAACTGGCGTTAGACCTCGCTGGTTGCTATAGATTGCCCTGCACACCAATGTCATGGATAATTCTGCAGCCTTATGGAATGAGCTTTGTAAATTATACTAGAAGTTTTTATATATTTGCTACAAATGTAAACCCCAACAGAAGGATAGTTAGTTGGCTAAAGCAATGTGCATCATACACAACTGCTATTTTTTCATCAAATATTTGTTTTCCCCTATTCATTTTTTAATCTCAGTGCTGCGGACCTGCTGCAGCCTCCTTACAGCGATGACTGCATGCCAGTTCTCAGGGTGGGCTGACAGTCAGTGGGCCATGTCTGTGTAATGTGTATTAAAAAGGACGCTAGTAGACTCCATCAGAGACCTGCCAGACAAGGTGGCAATGCACTGGCAAGCTTGAGAGACAAGAACAAAGTGTTGGAAGTAGTAAAGTATATCACCAACACACCCAAAGTAAAATCTTCAACGACTGGTCATTTTATTATTGATGTACACGCATCTCGCCACAAAGCAAAGTTTTGGGGCCACTCACTCAGGGTCCCTTCATCAGACATGTCCTGTCAGACAAGGTGGCAATGCACTATCAAGCTTGGGAGATCAGAACAGAGTTTTGTCACCCTATGACAGGAAGTGCCTGAACAAGGAACTTCATGGCAGGAGAACTGGGTATAATCCCCTTCATGACCAAAATACGACTTTCCAAAATACGAAGTCCAAATATAAAATGCCCCACGCCATGAGAATGTTCAAAAAAGGAAACGCCAAACTATAAGCCAACTC